AACCTAAGATCCGCGTCGACTATAAGGGAGAGTCGAAGTCCTTCTTTCCCGAAGAGATCTCGTCGATGGTGTTGGTGAAGATGAAAGAGATCGCGGAGGCATACCTGGGCGGACAGGTGTCGAATGCTGTGGTGACAGTTCCGGCCTATTTCAACGACAGTCAGCGTCAGGCGACCAAAGACGCCGGAACTATCAGTGGTCTCAATGTCCTGAGGATTATCAATGAGCCGACGGCGGCCGCCATTGCGTACGGACTCGACAAGAAGGGTCAGGGAGAGCGCAATGTCCTCATCTTCGACTTGGGCGGCGGTACGTTCGACGTGTCGATCCTCACCATCGAAGACGGCATCTTCGAAGTGAAGTCGACGGCCGGAGACACCCATTTGGGAGGCGAGGACTTCGACAACCGAATGGTCAACCATTTCGTACAGGAGTTCAAACGCAAACACAAGAAGGATCTGGCGGTGAATAAGAGAGCGCTGCGTCGGCTGAGGACGTCCTGCGAGCGCGCGAAGAGGACCCTCTCGTCCTCCACTCAGGCGTCCATCGAAATCGACTCACTCTTCGAAGGCATCGACTTCTACTCGACGGTCACGAGAGCGCGCTTCGAAGAGCTGAACGCAGACCTGTTTCGCTCGACTCTGGATCCGGTGGAGAAGTCTTTGAGGGACGCCAAACTCGACAAGGCTCAGGTGCACGACATCGTACTGGTCGGGGGGTCGACACGGATTCCCAAAATCCAGAAACTGCTTCAAGACTTCTTCAACGGCAAGGAACTGAACAAAAGCATTAATCCGGACGAAGCCGTCGCATACGGGGCCGCAGTTCAGGCGGCGATTCTGAACGGCGACAAGAGTGAGGCCGTGCAGGACCTCCTACTGCTCGACGTGACCCCTCTGTCGCTGGGCATCGAGACTGCGGGCGGAGTGATGACGACTCTTATCAAACGCAACACAACGATCCCGACCCGTCAGACGCAGACATTCACGACGTATTCAGACAATCAGCCGGGAGTTCTGATTCAGGTGTATGAGGGCGAGCGAGCCATGACTAAAGACAACAACCTTTTGGGCAAATTCGAGTTGACTG